AACCTATCTATATACATGGTTTCTAAGAATGGAAAATATGCATGACTTCAAAATAGTTTTATACTATATAAATAAATAAATACAAATATTTAATATATATATATATATATATATATATTATATATATAGGAAAGAAATAAGGAAACCCAGCTAACAGGAAACATTCTCAGAACATTGACTGGGGTTCTGGGAAGGTTCTCTCAATGTTAACGTTACTAAAACGTTCGTTCAACGTTATCTGGTCTTTAATAAAGTTTAAAACGTTAGCACAAAAAAGTTACTTATACATCATTCGTGGAACGTTTTCTGAAACATTTTAGTTGGACTCTGGTCTAACATTTTTCAAATGTTACTAATTGTTTCAGAACTTTCTGAGAACAATCAAAAGTAACATTCCCATAATGTTTGCAAATTATAAAATGGAATGTTTCCTTAATGTTTGTATATCCTTCAACGCGGAAGTAAGCTGTGAATGTGTGAGACTTCCGGTTCACTGGCCGCTGTAGGGAAATAACGAGAAGTGCAGTGCAAAGTGCAGTAAATGGTCAAAATGTTTGCACTACAAACCAGTGTGTAAGATAATACATTCAAATAATATGGTAAGACACACCAGTTTGCAATATCAAGGAGCAAAACAAGCTGTTTTGTACAGGTAAAAATAGCTGGACACAGATGACCCATAATAATTACAAAAGGCCACACCTGCTCTTATGGGAAAAATAAGGTGGATAAGCAAAATAACTGATGTTTTGATTGTTCAGAGAACATTTAGAAATAACATTTTCATAGCTCACTAGGAACATTCTTAGAACATACTTTTGTTAGCTGAGAAAGGGCCAGAACAGAATATTGCACCCAATGCACATTTGATATGAATAATGTTGACGGTTCCACCATAACACACAGACAGGCATCATTAATTATACTAATTAAGTGAGCTTTGAGGACAATTTCACTCTGCGGTGTGTGAGGTATGGTGTGTGTGAGAGCGGCCTGATGAATGACTCGTTAAAGCCATTCAGAAATCAGCTATGCAGTGATACCCAGCATGCATCACTTGTCATTTTGGGAGCTGATACACTTGGACATAAATAGAATTGACCAAAATTGACCCCAGAAAATATGTGGACACAGAATGTCACTGTATAAACATAGAATATTAAGCCAAGTGTCATTTATTTGCACACTTTTCAAGCAGAACATTTCAGAAAAAGAAGTTTGCTAGGTTCAAATGATAAAACAATAGGGAAAAAGCACTGTGCACATTCCATATTTTGATATTTTAAAACCACATTTTGCTGTTTTTATGTGTAATAATACAGCAGCGCAGAAGTACGCTGTCATTTCTTCCAGTGTCTTCATCCAGGACTTCATCTGGAATGCATATAACACCAAAAGAAGGAATTTATGGTGAACGGCACAAGATTGGAAAGAAAGAGGGAATGAAAAACAGATGTAGCATTCTGTCCGTCCTCCTTTTATGGTAAAACTGGACTCCGGCTGAGCAATGGCACGTGCGTGAGTTTCTGACGTGAGCTCTTTTACTCATGAAAGAGCTTCTGGAATGTCATCAGCTGTTTGACGGCTCATTCAGACTGTCTTGTGCCATGTTCACAAAGCCTATGGTATTTATGCACAGTGTTTGGTTAATTTTGTGTAATTGTTTGGTCTCAGATATGATTATCATTATAGTCTTTTCTGAGGTTTACTGGTCTGTTAATGTCAAAATGCAGGTTATTGCTATTCATACAGGGTTTATTGTGATGATAAAATGGGTTGCCAGGTGTGTTTGTGTGTAAGCAGCACTAATGAACATTGAAATGTCACCAAGCCTATACTATATTGGTCTAGATTAGATAATTATACAAAACTATAATACAGACCACACACACACACACTTCTAATTAGAGGTGTTTGCTAAGGCCTGCTGACTGTTATTATAACACTTAGTGATTAAATAAACTCTTGACCCAAGGAATTAAACTTAAGTGTAATTCTTGTTAAATATGGGTCTTAAATGCACATGCCATATTGAATTTAATGCAGATGAAAACGAGGCTACAAAGACACGCACTAAAGGTCCAAGATCACCTAATTGTTACAACTCACAACTTTCAAACGGAGTTTCTTTTCTCTCTCTCGAAACGTCCAAAAAATAAATGTCGCTACACTTACTATCTGGGTTTATTTTAACGCAACTGTACTTAGTTTTATCTACTTTTGCGACTTTAACAGAACACAGCAGTTAGTGATAAATGAAACACGTGTTTAAGTACTACACCAAAACTGACAAAAAATTAAAATAAATTAATAAAATAAAAAATCAAACTAAACAAAGCTATAAAAAACTAATAAAAATAACAAACGCACAACAAAATTGAAAATCTTCTAAAGATTCTAAGAATGACAAAATTACTAAAAAATCAAACTAAAATCAAAATGAAAACTGAAAATCAAAAAATAAAATCTAATTCAATGTTATTAAAATTGAAATAGAATAGAATTAAAATTGAAAATCTAAAAAGCTAATTCAAAATTTTATTATAAATAATATAATACACTGTAAAATAATTTTTTGAAACTTTTGTAAGTTTAAGTTAAAGTGCTAAAATTAATAAAATTGACAAAATAAATGAATGCTAAATAGAGATACAACACACACACACACAAATGGCAAAAGCACAACAAAATTGAAATGAAAAAGTTTTTGACTACTTAAAAGTTTCTTTTCTCTCTCGAAACGTCCTAAAATGAATATGGCGCTACACTTATTATAGCGGTGTTTTGGGTTTATTTCAAAGCAACTGTACGTAGTTTGATCTATTTTTGCGACTTTAGAGCTCCCGTCAGTTAAGTGAGTGGAATAGACTGTCGTAAATATTCCACTGTCCCGCATTTGTTGCTGCCGTAAAGCAATCCGCACTTTTCGCGGAATTTCGTACCCGCTCACCAAACTTACACAGTTCCAGAACAGACGTTTTGGAAAAAGAAACTTAAGCTATTCGCCTTATTATAAGTTTGTACCATGCTGAAACTGATATTTCAAGATAAAAAAAATAAAAAAATATATTTTTTAAAGACATTTCATGGTTCCATGTGTTCAAATACAGTTTCACTGATACACTGTGATCGTTTTAATATCAAAATCTCAGAGGTCAAATTATTATGAAAGATTTTGCCCTGTTTCCGAGATGAATCCCTAAAAACCAGACTGTACAAAACATAATTTTTTGTATATGCTGCCATCTAGTGGTCACACAAAATTAAGCCCATCTGTACTGTACACATTCCCCTATAAAATCAAGAGAATAATGCAAGATTTAACAAATAATATGATATTTTACATAGATTTATTTTGTATTACATGTATGACACCTGTGTCCATACATAAAATGATTGAAAATATATCTGATAAACACAAAAGCACCGCACAGATTCAGCAGTGCAGCTTTAAACATCCAACAAAGACATTTAAACACTGACAGATATAAAAATTAACATGTATATAAAATATTCAATGCTACGAGTTACAGTAAATAACTGTAAATACTGTACAGCTCTATGGATTAAACCATGTTGAGTAAAATTCAATCCAAATGTATGTGTCCAAAAATAATTTATTACTAGTCTACAAAGAGTTCATACACAAACATACTTGGTTTCAAAACAGTACAGTACTGTGATATTTCTGCTTTGCTCCAGTGATTGCAGATCATATTCACTGGTCATTCAAGTATGTCTTTGTTTCCTATTGGTTTCACAGATGTAGCACCTCAAACTTTACCAGTGTCAACAATTACAACCATTATTTAGTTCTTTATCCCCAAAATACACTCAGAATTCATTCGTTCTGTGGCGAAGGCATCATGTAACAAATACATTTCTAAGGCATGTCGGCTTCACCAATATGGCACTTCTACAAACTGTTTACCTGTGAAATAGAGCAGATCTGTGTATTTTTCTCTCAGAGACTGATCCAGACTTAATTCATTTTCACATTTTTAAATATGTAGTGCTAGAGCTGGATTGTTGATTTGAGCCTCTGGAAAACTATAATAAATAATAACGGTAAACAATCGGGCAATACACTGGTAGGATGTCAAATGAACTCCAAAATACTATCAAAAGTGGTGGGGGAAAACAGAAATACAGCCACAAGAGGGCGTGTAACAGACTAAAACCAATATCACACTAGTATCTGCCCTCTTATTCTGATGTTCACTACTCAGTAAACAGGAAATGTTCAAGTCAAATTTTGTTGTGTAATGCTGTTTCTGTCTTTGGCACTGTAGCACCACAGAAGCATGAAAATGTAATGACACAAACGCAGCAGCTAATTTAATTGGCTGAGGCGTGTCCGATGTCCAGCCTCCTCTGGGCGGAGCCTCTTTTGCGTGCCGCCGGTGGGGTGCTGAGAGATCCAAAGGCTCCAGGCGTCTCGAAGAAAGATTTGGACCCCACTGCCGCTTCCTTTGGTGTCACAGGAGCCTGAAATAGCAGACGTGAGAAGGTCAGAAACACTACATATAAAACGTACTAATGTTTGAAATGCATACTATTTTTTTAAACAGTAGTGTGGCACCAAAATAATTTTTTGACAAAACAAAAATTTAAGTTCTCATTTACCCCGAAAATAACATGTGCAAACTGGTTTTGTTCAATACACCCATATAATTACTTGCTTTTGATATTTTATTTGAATATATATATGCATTTTAAGTCATTTTAAAGTCTATTGTTCAGTTAGGTCTATTTTTACTAAAAAAAAAAAATCTTATTACTCGATTATCAAAATAATCGTTAGTGACTGCCCATATTCAGTGCATGATAAAACCCCCCACCCCAAAAAACAGTATGCAGTAAACTGACCTGTGTTTGTGCTGGCTGAGGGATTTCTTGTGCTCGTGGTCCCCGTGGCGAGAGTGTGGCTGCAGGTAATCTGTGCCCATGATGCTCAGTGCTGTTCAGTGTTTCGACCACACCAAACGCCCCTCCTGCCATCACAAACCCTCGATTATCAAAATAATCGTTAGTGACTGCCCATATTCAGTGCATGATAAAACCCCCCCCCCCAAAAAACAGTATGCAGTAAACTGACCTGTGTTTGTGCTGGCTGAGGGATTTCTTGTGCTCGTGGTCCCCGTGGCGAGAGTGTGGCTGCAGGTAATCTGTGCCCATGATGCTCAGTGCTGTTCAGTGTTTCGACCACACCAAACGCCCCTCCTGCCATCACAAACCGGGCCGGTGACAGCACGGTGGGCACGCTGAAACTCAGACCGCTGCTGGCAGCCCCCTCAGCGCCGGAGGTGGGCATTGCACCCGCTATGAGTGGCGAATGCACCAAAAAATACGGCATGGCTACAGCTGGCACGCCAGCCTGTGTATGTCCCGCTGGCATGAGGAAGTTCAAACCGTTCAGACCTACAGAAAACAGTCAAATGCAACATTAGAATGAGCTTACAATCAGAAAGACTGACAATCACTGCTCAGGTTTTCCTGTACCTGCTGTGCTGGGAACATAGAGGTAATGAGAGGACAGGAGGGGGTCTTTAGGGCTGGGTGCTCCTGCGTCTTCCTCATTTATTGGCCCAAACGAGGCCTCGTCCCACGGGGAACCTTCTCGAGAGCAGACTGGAGACCTTCTGGCGCTGGAGCTCAGACTCTCAGTCTCACCCTATGGGACATTCACACAAATTACAGCTTTCACAATGACAGTTTATAATATTGCGGATGCCGCCATTATAAAACCAATAAGCCACTCAAGGCTGTGCATTACAGCGATTTCACCATGGTAAAATCGATCTTCGCATCATACTCCATAATCAGGGTCAGAAACATCTGATAAATTTCAATTGTATCATATTCATTTCTAGGTAGTTATAAATATTATCAAAAATATGAGTTGATGTTGATCGAATTTTATTGCATAAAAGCCTAATTATTCAAATTTTACACAGTTAAATTTTAAAAGTAAAAAAAAAGAAAAGTAAAATTTATTTTATTGTATAATTTTTTTTACTATTATTTGATAAATTTTTTTAATTAAAATTTTTCTCATTTTTGTCTTATATTTATTGCTTATTTTATCTTTTTATCTATTAAATTATTTATTTATGTGAAGTTTTCGACAAAATGACAACATTGTCATATATATATATATATGTACAGTATATATAAATGTTCTGTTTTATGTCAGATACTTTAGTTTAATAATAACATATTTGTATACCACATTTCATATTTTTAGCTTCAAATTTTGTCATTGCTTATTGTCTTAATTTATTTTAAGCTATGTATATATAAATATATATATATATATATATATCTGGCTCATAACACTCACCATTTCACTTTCTATGGAAGCTGAGCGGTTGCTTCGTTTAGCTGTCTGATCCTCATCCTCATCCTCATCCTCTTGTCTCTCTCTCTTCTTCAGATGTCCCTCCCTGTGGCCTGAGACGGGTGACCCGTGGGTGACGTGTCCGCTGTACACCATGAGCAGGGGTGTTTGTGGCAGACCGGGCAGGTACGCTAACGGGTGAGGAGCGAACTGGGCTGAAATGGGCAGTGATGCATAAGGCACATCTGCTTGAAGAGGCACCGCCAGTGACGACACTATAGGACTTCCACTGAACAGAACACAGTAGTTAGTGATCATTGACAACTAGATGAAATACATATGTTTAAGTACTACAAATATCAAAACTGACAAAAAATAAATTAAAGCTAAACAGAGCTATGAAAAACGAATAAAAATAACAAACGCTCAACAAAATTGAAATGAAAAATGAAAATCTAAAAATAAAAGCTAATTCAAAATATTAATATATTCTAATAAGAATGACAAAATTACTAAAAATCTAAAGAATTAAAACTGAAAATCTAAAAAGCTAATTCTAAATATTATTATAAATAATATAATGCACTGTAAAATTATTTTTTGAAATTTTTGTAAGTTTAAGTTCTAAAAGTAATAAAATTGACAAAAATAAATTTACGTAAAATAGAGATACAAAACACACACACACACAAATAAAAATGGTAAAAGCACACACACACAAAAAAAGTGTAATTCTAAAAATAAAAGTTAATTTAAAATATTATTATAAATATTATAATAAACTATAAAATTTATTTTTCTAAGTTGTAAATAAAACCATTATTGTAGGGCATTTGACAAGAAAATACTAGTTTTTCTACTTCAAAATTTCATGTTTAATTCAATGTGTTGCTTGCTATTTCTTTGCCATTTTTGTGAAATTTACTAGCAATTTCTGCGTGGAAATTCTTTCTACACCAATTTTTCAATGTAGTATATGAATAATTCTAAATTAACATTGTTAGTAGCACAATGGTTATGCATTAACTTCAGGTTTGAACCTACAACTTTTCAGCCTAGATCTTTACGCAGTGTTTGTAAATGGCTAAAGTTTGAAATATGTGTACATTTCTGCAAATATCAGTTTTATACAGGTGGACTCACCTGTCTCCAAACTGCAGTCGACACACTGCGCTGGTGTTCACACTCTTCCTAGAATAATCCACCGGCTCGTCTGAAAATACAAACACAAAAAAACGTCACATAAACTACAATTACATCAAATGTAAACATTACACTAATATTATGGTATTAGCTCTCACCTGTAGAACATCTGTGAGGTGTGCTGGGGGCGGAGCTTATCCGCCTTTGATTGACAGAAGGGGCAGGAATGACCTGGAAGGAGGAGTGGCGCGTTATCTTCTCCCGTCGTTCCCCGGTGGAACTGATCTGGGCTTCTGAGACTCTCAAATCGTCTGAATCTAAAAGACATGCAACAATATTCACAATATTATCACACTGAAGTGACTAAAAGCAATTTTCACGTGTTTAAACAGGACGTACCGCAGCTGCTGTGGAAATCGGCGGGTCCAATCCATTTGAAGACGGGTTTACGGCTCTTTTCCTCTCTTACATGAAGTTTCTTGATCAGATTTAGGCTGGTCAGGACATTAGCGATATCATACAAACGTCGCACCTTAGCTAAACACACACAAAAAAAGATTGCAAGCTACACTTAGTCATTAAGGAAATGCATAATATTTTAAATATTAAATCTGGCTGATGTCTTACTTTTATACTTGCTGTGGCTGGACTCATCCTGACCCTCTTCGATCAGGATCTTTGCAGCCATATCGAGGGTAACGGTCTGTGTTTTGGACACCAGAAACAGCATGACAAACTTCTGGCTCATGATACGGAGTGATTTGTCCTTCCGTCTGCTGGAGGCCGCTGTATGAGAGAGATAAACCATGCTGTAAAACACGTAAAAGTTGTCGTTTAACGCATGAATGCATTAGTCTTTACAATAAAGGTCTTCGGAGATTCATACAGCAACTTAAGAAACAGTAAAAAATGTCTCTTGATAAGTCGAGGAATTATGCTTTTTCAGTTTTAACAATTGTGGTGCTGAAAAAGACGATGGAAGACATGAATAAAGGATGAGTGAATAAATTTGAGGTGACTGGCAGGAGAAAATCAGAGTAAGTGGATATGAGGAATGGCATGATTGCTCGGTGAATTGGCTGGTCGAGTGATTCCGGCCCTCATGATGGGATGGTAATAAGCTTTTGTTAGAAAGGAAAGCCGTTGCTTAGCGACAGCGGCCACATGGGACAAGAAGCCAGCAAACAATAACCCCATCAGAGGATCCAGACACGGACAGCAGGATGCTTCATTTCTTCATCAAGACATCAAACTCAGGAAACACGAAGAGATTCATTTGAATGCACAAATCTAGAGAAATTAAACACTTGGCTACTGAGCAAACAGACAAACAAATAAATATAGATCTGAGGCATCTGAGTGGATTAAAATCACTCGCTTTGTTTACAGAGCGGAGAACAGTTTAACAGGCTAAAATCATTAGGGGCTTTTATTTCATCATCAGCTCATTTTGGAAACAGAAAACAGCTTTCAAATAGCATCAATTATTTCTAACGTGCATTTTAAAAATCAGATGATTTCATTTCATTTGAAGCATGGAAAATTACAGTATATACTGGAGTTTTTTTATTTTTATAAATACAAACAGAATTTTAATTGTCAGAATTAACATAAATAATTATAATATTTGCCATAACTTCTATATTTGTGCATCTAATAGAAAAAGATGACATTAGTGTTAATTTACTATTACTGAAATACTATTATAGTTTTTATTAATATATATATTTTTTAATTATATTTTCTTTTTTCATTGTAATTTTAGTTTAGGTTTGAGTAATTTTGTGTTTTTGCCATTTATATATATATATATATATATATATATATAAATTTCTCTATAGTTTTTTATTAATTTTATTTAAGTTTGAGTTATTTTAGTACAAAGAGACAAATTAAACTAAATGAAAATGAGAAATTAAGAATGTTTTTAAAATGATTTAAAATAAGTTTATTTTTAGTTAATGTAACAAAGGTTTATGGTTTTAGTTAACTATAATAACCTGGCATCACATACTAATTTATTTAAAGGGGTCATATGATGTTGCTAAAAAGAACATTATTTTGTGTATTTGGTGTAATGAAATGTGTTTATGCGGTTTAAGGTTCAAAAAACACATTATTTTCCACATACTGTACATGAAGTTGCCATCTAAAGTATAAATCTGTTTAGTTTCCAATTTATTTTTCATAAATTTCTAATTATGTTTTTCATGCAATTCATTTTCAAATCATTTATTTCAAATTTTTTAAATATGTAAAATATAAATACATAAATCTGTTTAAGGATTTTTTTAATCAAGTTCTATTTGTTTATGCAATTCACTTTCAAATCATTTAACTCTAGTTTTGTAAATATTATGTAAAATATAAATACATAAATCTGTTTAAGGATTTTTATTTTATTTGATCAAGTTCTATTTTTTTATGCAATTCACTTTCAAATAATTTATTTCTAGTTTTGTAAATATTATGTAAAATATAAATACATAAATCTGTTTAAGGATTTTTTCTGTGTTTGATTATACTGATTGGACTTGATTTGGAAAGCCACACACCTGTCTATATAAGACCTTACATCTCACAGTGCATGTCAGAGCAAATGAGAATTATGAGGTCAAAGGAACTGCCTGAAGAGCTCAGAGACAGAATTGTGGCAAGGCACAGATCTGGCCAAGGTTACAAAAAAATTTCTGCTGCACTTAAGGTTCCCAAGAGCACAGTGGCCTCCATTCCTTAAATGGAAGACGTTTGGGACGATCAGAACCCTTCCTAGAGCTGGCCGTCTGGCCAAACTGAGCTATCGGGGGAGAAGAGCCTTGGTGAGAGAGGTAAAGAAGAACCCAAAGATCACTGTGGCTGAGCTCCAGAGATGCAGTCGGGAGATGGGAGAAAGTTTTAGAAAGTCAACCATCACTGCAGCCCTCCACCAGTCGGGGCTTTATGGCAGAGTGGCCTGACGGAAGCCTCTCCTCAGTGCAAGACACATGAAAGCCCGCATGGAGTTGTGAGATGGTGAGAAATAAGATTCTCTGGTCGGATGAGGCCAAGATATAACTTTTTGGCCTTAATTCTAAGCGGTATGTGTGGAGAAAACCAGGCACTGCTCATCACCTGTCCCAACAGTGAAGCATGGTGGTGGCAGTATCATGCTGTGGGGGTGTTTTTCAGCTGCAGGGACAGGATGACTGGTTGCAATCGAGGGAAAGATGAATGCGGCCAAGTACAGGGATATCCTGGACGAAAACCTTCTCCAGAGTGCTCAGGACCTCAGACTGGGCCGAAGGTTTATCTTCCAACAAGACAATGACCCTAAGCACACCGCTAAAATAACGAAGGAGTGGCTTCCCAACAACTCTGTGACTGTTCTTGAATGGCCCAGCCAGGGCCCTGACTTAAACCCAATTGAGCATCTCTGGAGAGACCTACAAATGGCTGTCCACCAACGTTTACCATCTAACCTGACAGAACTGGAGAGGATCTGCAAGGAGGAATGGCAGAGGATCCCCAAATCCAGGTGTGAAAAACTTGTTGCATCTTTCCCAAAAAGACTCATGGCTGTATTAGATCAAAAGGGTGCTTCTACTAAATACTGAGCAAAGGGTCTGAATACTTAGGACCATGTGATATTTCAGTTTTTCTTTTTTAATAAATCTGCAAAAATGTCAACGATTCTGTGTTTTTCTGTCAATATGGCGTGCTGTGTGTACATTAATGAGGAAATAAAATTAACTTAAATGATTTTAGCAAATGGCTGCAATATAACAAAGAGTGAAAAATTTAAGGGGGTCTGAATACTTTCCGTACCCACTGTATATATATATATATATACATAATATCAGCAATTGTTATGCATATTTTACTGTCTTTAAATCAAATAGTGTGATATCATATATATCTGCTTTATATCGCCCATCTGCCACCCTTTTCTCTGCGATATCGAACCACTATTTCATTATATTTTATACAGAAATAAGGGATTTGACTATGAGTGATTTTCTCTTACCTAAGCGTGTGGCCACCTCATCCAGAGAAATATTGATGCTCTCAGAGGTTTCTGGGTAATCAGGGTACAAGGCCAGAAATTTCTGACACAAAAGCCCCAAACTCTTCTGTTTGCGACTGGGTCTCCTCTCAGAATCGTCTAGTGCTTCATACTGCAATAAAGAGAGATAAAACCAGCTAAGCGTACTGAGCATATGAAGATACTGAACATATTTAAGATGAATTGCATGTTGTGAGCCGCTGTGGATAAAAGCGTCTTAAGTTTCAAATCATTACACCAATTTAGACGTATTCTCTTAATACCTGGCAGGGGTCGTCAAGCTCTTCCTCTTCATCCACATCTACAGCCTTCTCTTCATTTTCAATGGGTCTGAAGTGGGTTTTCTTCATCTCTCTGTCACGGATGTCTGGGCTGGCGGCACTGATCAGCATTTTCAGGTTGGCTGTCGGGGTCCAGGGGTCCGGATGGGCCCTCTCTACGTGTTTGATGGGGGTTATGTGGGTGATATCCGGGCTGGAAACTCTCCTATGTCCGTTCACAGACTCACACTTCAGTGGGGTCATTTTCTTTCTGTCCATGCAGATGTTCTCCTGAATTCACAGTGAAAGTGAATCTAACGAGGCAGTAGATGCATTATCACGTAAATCAAACAAAAATGATGCTTTAATTACATTTAGATCTCTTACTTTCTGGTTATTCATGTTGCCAGTATCATCCGAGCCTGTCCTCACACTAAGCAAATCCTTTAAAGTTAAACACTTCATCTCCATCTAAAAAAAAAGAATAGAACCAGCACATTTATTCTATTAATAAATTACTGAATTATGTTATGAATGACACTAACTTTTGCACTGTTATTAATATATAATACCAACTATTTTACGTTATATAGTATATATATCTGCATAAATTACATATCTGAATATAAATATAAACTGATCTGTAAAGTATGCATGTGGTGTTTGTTACTTACTAATGAAGTTATGTTGCCAAAAGTTATTCAAATACTGCTAGTAAATAATACTAGTACGTTATTAGTATATTAGGTATTATATTGTATTACATAAGAAACATGACTAATGATCACGTTCTTAAAAAGTGATCTGATCTGATGATGGTGGCAAGATTTTGGCGCAAATATTTTCAGCAGTTGCCTGGTAACGCAATCAGATTCTCAGAAGAAAAAAATATGACTAAACTTTTGAAATTATTTATATTGAGAAGACTGTCACAGTGTTGTATCTTACATTATATTGTCGGAGCTCAGCAGGCAGCATGCTTATGATATATAAAAAAATACTTTCATATAAATCCGAAAGTATTTTTTCTGATTTTTTGAATACTAGTAAAATGTTTGTCAGTAAAAGTCAGACTTGAGGAGATTTATTTACATTATTTTTTATATTAAATCATGCAAGTCGGACTTCATATTCTTACCTTAAACTCCCGTTCTTAGATTAAAAGTATCCCAAGAACGTAATTAAATCCTGTGAAGTGGTGATCCTTCGTTTTGCTCCTTAAATGATCATATTTCCTCTCCAAATAAGAAGATCATAACTAATAATCTTCTTATTTCAGTCCTACCGCCGGTATGAATCACCCGCTAAAGCTTGTTTTCTGGCGCTCTGAAGAGCTACACCCTCCCTCAGCCAATCACGTAGCCGCTATGCAAATATATCGACGGTGATTGGCCGAAGGAGGAGGAAATGCCTCGGAGCGACCGTCGTAGCCAATCAGAGACGCGTTCTGAGCAAGCCTGTGGGGGGTTTATTGGCGGGGCTGTAGGCGCGCTCTTCATTGATCTGCGTCTGAGTTTTAAAGGCGCCGCTGTAACTCAGCGGGGACGTAATTAATCACCACATATGATTAATTGACATTATATAAATGCCAAATGCCTCCTGGCTGCTTTTAATGAGAAGCTCAGGCAGGAACAAAGGTGAGTGACACAGGTGGGGTTTTGGCGCGACTGAGGGTTTTGTCGCGGGAAAGAGTGTAATATGAGAAGATACCCCACACCCACAAACTACCCCCACATAAACGCTCTTTCAGCGTAATAATCACAGAAATAGAATACTATATTTAATAATAGCCCTCAGAAATAAACAGATAATGTATAAACCTGATGTATCACAGTTCAAATGTCATAAATGTCTATAGCACACCTGTACATACAATTTATTCTTTTTTTTGTGTGGTTTATGTTTATGCATGTGTATTTTATTCACATCTCACTTTTATTATCTGTGTGTTGTTGTTGTCTCTGTGTACTGGAAGCTTGTGACACTATAACAAATTCCTTGTATGTGCAAACATACTTGGCAATAAAGCTCTTTCTGATTCTAAAACATGAACATGCATACATATATACACATGCTTGTCTAAAACTAAACTAGAAAACTAAATATGCATGAGTAAATATGTAAAAACAGATCAATATAATATCTCATTCATTCATGTAATGGTGCATGCCTTCACTTAAGCGTGTTGTATTTCACTCTTAATTAGGGCTGAAACGATTAGTAGCCATCAGAGCTGAGTAGATTACTTACAAATTGTAATCCGATTCCAAATTACATGACAAAAAATGTAGTTAGTAACGTAATCCATTACATTGCACATTTTAGGTAATATAATAAGAGTACTTTTTGATTACTTTTAGATTACTTTTGACCCAACTCGTTAGTCACAGTGGTTTAAATAGGATAAACTTTTACCATACTGATATAAAAATAGAAACAGAATGAAAATTAACAAAATGAAATGCATTAATGAATTACATTACATCAAAGTTTCCCAATCTGGGGTTCATTAATAGGAACTGCAGGGGGTTCCTGAGTTTAATGAGAAGCTAATGATTAAATCATTAAAATAAATCATTTTAAGAACGTCAAAATAAAATACTACAAAATGAAATGTTTTATATGGTTACCTGCATTTCATGTGAATATTAACCAACGTCAGAGAACCGTGAACATGCAAATGTGATACTTAATTATTAAAATATTTATTTTAAAATCTCAGGGGTACTTAAATATGACAAAAAAAGTTTGGGAATCCACTATATATATATATATATATATATATATATATATATATATAGCACTCTATAGAAAGTTTGTGAATCCACTATATATATATATATATATATATATATATATATATATATAGAACACTATAAGGTGTTTTAGGAGAGCTAATGTGAATAAAATCATTTATCGGAAATAAAATTGGCACTTTATTTTGTTCCATATATGACTTACAAAAGGAGATGTTAGGCAGAATGATGCATCGTTCAGTCAGAAAGTCTGTCTGTCAATATGTGTGCCAAATATATTTATTTGTATTGTAAAAAAAAAATGTAATAGTACAATAGTAATATAATTGTTTGACATTCTCTTCAAAGCTGAAGTGATTACCTTTGTGTTATTAGTCAGAATATGTGTAACTCAGTATTTTAACTAATTGTAAAAGCAGAATAATAGAACAAAGCCTACTGACTAATGAAATAATCGTCGATTAATCGTTGTAATAATCATTAATCGATCATCAAAATAATCGCTTGTTGCAGCCCTACTCTTAATGCACTCTGTATAGCATCATTTCTAATGCATTTATTGTTGTTTGTTTAAAGAACTATCAGATTATTGCTTTTTTTTTAATTATTTCAACAGTTTTCAAGCCTCTTTTTTTAATCTATATTCAAGGTCTTCATCCTCGGACTGCTTTTGTGAGAACTGAAATACCATAAGATACCGGGTAAGACTTAGGCCTAATTTCCATCTTGCATGTATTTTAATAATCTTAAAATATCTTGGGTTTGTTTGGGTGCATGTTACATTACATCATCTTTAAAGCCATTTATATGTCATGATCAGTTATTTAAATGAGATCAAATGGCAATGTGAAACACTTCAGACTGTCTGTTTGAGAAGCGCACACAAAATTCATTTACTTTTTCAAGGAGCAGTGGACGAATCACATTTGCATGATTATGCAAAATTTGGAGAGAAAGAGAAGTTGAATTAATATTTTAGAGCAGCATATTACTGTGATTGCGCCATGTAAGTCAAATAAAACCGTGTGAAAAGAGTGTAAGATAGAGACAGACATGAAAAGAGGATCTCTGGTCTCTGAAGATGGGCTCCTGGTGGCAAAGGAAAAAAGTGAGAAAATTCAGAGAAGGCAAGAAGAACTGATCCAGAACCAGAGCTTAATATTACGAGGCAGCTTATTATTCACCAGGCTTACAGTAATACAGCCTGTAAGGTACTAGTAACCAAAGCTTCAACTCTCAACCTGTTACTTAACAAAAACTCCATCCATTTTTATTTAAAAACTATATGATAGTGATAAATACATTTCCTTCTCCAGAGTGTGTAATTTTCCTTTCACAGTTTTAAATATCACCAACAAAGGTTATTATTTGGACAGTTAAATCAAAATTAAAATGCCTGAACGTCATTGCATTCATTATAAGTAATCCAAACATTTTTTGTATATCTAAAAATATGCGAAAGCTAACTAATCAGAGATATAGTCATAAATCAAAACCTGAATGAGAAGTCTGTGATGAAATCATGAGATATTCTTTAATCAGCATTTACACATTTACATAATGTGTTTAGTAATTCATTTTTCACTCTGCTGCACCCAGCAAAACACATTTATGAATATTTGTATTCATGTCTTCATGTACTTGGTTAAGAAGGTAGATATATTTAAAGCCAGTAGTAACCAAACAACCCATAAAAAATACATCGTAAACCTATACATATTAGTTTCCGACAATCATAATAATCTTATGAAATATAATAAAGACTTCTTTTGGTGAAGACGAGTGTATTCTTATGACGAACTGTCTACATTATTCTGATGAGACAGGGCTGTGTTTGCAGATCCTACGACACGCTCGTGGCCTTCTGCAGCAGCTGGAGCATGATGGGATACACCGGGGCAAACTCCTTCCCCTGCCTGGCTCGGACACTGCTGTAATTAAGAAAAGCTGTTTCTTAAGTTTAAGTTTTAAGTTGATTAAGTTTTCTCCAGAGCACCCCTAGAGGGCGCTGATGTTGCACTGAAAAATTAAGTTCTGGTCTGAACTACTGAATTATTACCAGGTGTTTTCTATGAATAGGGATTTTTAAAAATCATTTTAGAAACTTCGCACTCATAAAATGCAATTTCTAGCCAATGAAAAATCTGCATAACCAGAAAAATGTAAGTCCACTTAAGAAATGTCCATGATTTTTCTATATCTGGAAATCAGTCAAGATCCCCACAATAATGGAAAACCTGGAAATATCATGGAAATAAATAAAATGTTTAAATGCCACAGAAATATCATGGAAATTTTCATAGTGACTATAAATATTTCTAATAGAATACATAAATATATGCATTGCATTAACTTGGATTTTTTTTTTTTAATTGGCAAGAAACTGATCTTTCTAAAAGCACAGAAATGCATTGTTTTATTTTTTCATTTTTTATTAAAATTCCCTGATATTTCCAGGTTTTCTGTGATTGTGGGAACCCTGACATTTCTAGTTTGACGGGTTAAAGAGGCGAAAACTAAACTACTAACCAAGTTAATGCAAACTGGCGTTAGTTTTCCACCAGAGGGTGTCACTGGAAAGGTTTATTGTAAAAAGCAGTGGCAATGGTGAATTGGAGTTGCAGTTTTGAGCCTTAGATCTTACCTAATAAGAGCAAGACGGTCCTTCTCTGATGGATGGTCATCCAGCCATTGAGAATAGCGAGAGATCGACCACTCCGCTCTCTGTTTATAAGGGAAAGCAGTATTAGTGGTACATAAAAGCTCTATAAATCCGCCCATGCCAAAGCAATTTTAGACAACCCTCATTTTATAAAATGGCTAAAAATATCTTCATTTTTTCCAGTCCGAGCACTCAAAATGAAATGTGTCATTTAGCGGAAGCTTTTATCTAAAGCAGCTTACAGTAGGTCAATCACAGTGACAGTCGCGATGGGGCAACTTGAGGTGAATTGCCTTCGCTCAAGGGCATAATAAACAGGATCTGACCTCAAAAACCTTTTGCTTGCTAACACCCGAACCTAAAACCTCAATCCTTGAGGATCTATAACCAAGAGGTTTCCATCTCTCTGCATTAGTTCGACTGTGTGTGTACCTGATGTGGTGATTTGAGTTCAGCCGGGGCACGAGTGAACAGGAAATGCAATATGGTGCTGTATGGAATCAAATCTCCCAGCGCTTGACTGCTAGCGATGTGCTCACTCGTTTGAAACAGCAGCGGTCTGAAACAGAGACAGACAAATATATTCATATTCACCAGGAATCACAATCCGGGTGTAATTTAGAGCCTGAAATGAATGCTGAAGATTTGGAAGGTAGCTGCATATGAAAAAACGTCCAATAAAATTCACCAAATGTCTGTGACATGTTAAAGTGGAGCTCAAATGACATCCTCCAGCGGGTTCACAGCAGATATCTACTCACTGCTGGCAAGATGCGAATGATATTTCAGTAACAGAAAAAAAGTCGCCGTTTCAGTCAAAACTGGGATTTATTTTTGTGCCAGTGTACTCTTTTAATACTATAAAAGATTAAGTGAAACTTATTTGAAATTATTTTAACTGCACCACTATTTTATGAATGGAAAACAATGCAAGTCTATACACGTTATCGTTCACCAACTGGAAATCGCACATCCAATTACTTGGGTAAGTAAAAGCCACTTCTACTCAACAAGCTGTGGTAAGTACAGATTGTTCAATATAATGAGATCGTAAAGTGAATCTTATCAAATTATGAGTCTTATTTCAACTCATTTTAATTGCATCACTATTTTCATAAATGGAATGGTTCACCAGCCAAAATGCGTACATCCGATTGCTTGGGTAAGTAAAAGTGCGGTAAGTAATAGTGCAACCAGTTTTGCTCAGCCAGCAATAAAAGGGTAAAGTAACAAGGATGCAAAAGACAGAAGCCTCTACAATAGTAGTAGTAGTACTGATATTTCCATAGCAAACATCCTTTTCATGTGCAACCCAAGTCAACAGAGGAAAGGTCACGAGATTCTTTCATGAATCAACTCCAAATTTAAACACACATCTAGAGGGTAATTGTGTCCCTGTACTGTATTAGCTGAGAGTCTATATTTAATCAAACAAGTTTATGAGTATGGAAAAGAAACCAATGCCATTTACAAGTTGCACCTCGGTTTGGGTCGAAAATTTAAATCACTTGCCATCTGCGGTCCCTCAACAGTGATCAAACAAGACAAATATCTCCATATTAATAATTATATCTCTATCTTAAGGCTCTCTTGTAATAACTTCTTTCCCCTGTGGTTGCCAGACATCATTTTGCATGCTTACACACATGCTCATTGAGTAAAATAAAGTTGCTAGTGGGGAACTGGGCCTTGCTCATGAGGGATCCAGGCACGGCAGTCGCTCCCAGAGCTGGCATCGATGGTTTAATTTGATTAGCTATCCTGTGAGACCTCACTGCTGTTTATTAGATTGCCTGGAGGAAGTATGGAGAATGCATGCCGCCTTAATCAAACCTGAACGTTAAGTTGTTCATAACATGAGACACCAGTTCATTGTCCTGTAAAACCTTAAATGCCAACTTCCTCTCAGGTCCAAAAAAACTATTCCAGCTAAAACCGAAGCATTAACGCATCACTGTTCACATTTATACATAATGCTGCTTTGCAAAGAGTTTGAAACAGAAAATACATGTAAGCGGTAAGCATGCAAGTTATTACATTCTGATGAAAGATTACAACAGAAAACTTTATTTGGAATAATGTGCACCGATAAATCAAGACCAAGAACGTGGAGCTGTCATGAGTCACACAATAAAGGAGCAATTGAAGGTGAGCATTACCCGGACAGATCATTTGACACTGACTTCTCCTCAGCTAATCAGTCGAGCATCTCCATTAATAACCTTCCTTTCTCTTTCTCTTTCTCACCGTTAATTAACAGCAATTTTCAGAGGGAAGACTCCAGGCGACCTCTTTGTCTCAGCGGGGGAAGGACAGGGACAAAGTATAACACAAATTGAGAGCATTTGTGTGAAAAATTAGACACAAAATTGCTCTGAGTGTGTGACATCAGAAGCTGCTTGCAGTCACTGAGGGTGAGTTTTCACTTTTGAGTTAATTATTTGGTTTATAGGCAACATGTATTTAATTTGAATGAATAAATGCTTATATTCTGCTTGTTTTTCCACAGAAAGCTAATATACAACACTTTAGAAGGACCAATTGTCTGCTGTTTTTTGGTCATTTTGGAACAGCCTCAGTTCCCTTTTACTTTTCATGTACAGAAGAAAATTGGTGAGAGCCACAGATTCAGTAAGAGAGATGAATGAGGAAGGCTGACCCTCGTTTTTCTCACCTGAGCAAAGTCAGCCGCCAACCTCATCTTCCCTCCCTCACTGAGTGGGCGCAAGAGGCTGGCGTGGCGGATGAAGAGGGTGATGGCGCGCTGGGCGATGTGCTCCGTACTATCGTACAGGAAGTCCAGACACTGCAGCGGACGGAAGTAGTCGTTCATCACGCGTGCGATGAAGCCCTGCAGCTCACGCATGTACAGAGAGCATAGCACGTCCAGACGGCCACCTGCTGGTAAAGAACTGAGCGTGCACACACACACACACACACACACACACACACAAGTTGTAATGTGAGCATAGACTACAGCTACAAGCAACACATTGATTTCCTTTGTCGCATAATCAATATCATAAATGTGTAGCTACTGGAACACACACACACAATGTCAGAAAACGGAGGTCGTGTTAATGCCTTTTATCAAGTGACAGTCAGTTTTTGAGTGAATCTTACGATAATGTTATATTTGTAAATATTTTACCTTAAAATCTAAATAATAAAAACAAATTTTCTTTAAAAAAAAATTAATGGGTTAGGATCCAATTAAAGCAATTATTTTCTTGCTTCAATTAAGCACATTTAATTTTCATCATTGTAATGTTTGTGCATTTTTTTTTATATAATTTTACATTTTTTATTATTCTTACTGTAATGCAGCATGTATTTACTATATTGGAGTACAAATACTATAATAGATTGATAATTTTCATTAAAAAAAAAATCTGCATTCATCATAGGCACTATTATAAATACCATGACATACTATTATATATATATAAATAACCATGATATATGAACACTTTCATAAAAACTATATAGTTTAAGTAATGTGTTTTCACAAAACTATATCTTAAATGATAGTTAATTTTTGTGCAATATATATTTTAGATTTATTTCTTTCCATTTTGGACTGAAATATGACTCAGACATTGATTTTATGAGATTCACCCTTTGAGCTCATCTCCAAACGAGGAAAACTCTTTTGAGTGGCTTCTGCCGACAGGGTGAAACTGGGGGTGTTTCTGGACAAAGCGGTCTTTATAGCTTATTGCTTATTTCTCTGCTGTCTTCCCTCAGGAGTGCCCAACAGCGGGGATAGAAATAAAACAAGCCCACCAAGCCTGACTCCAGTGGCCCTGAGGGGACAAGAGATGTGGACAAAAGAAGCCACGCTGAATCACCGGGGTGACGGTTTAAATGTTATCAAACGCTGGCACATCACTCTCTGTTGTATTCACTGGACCACCCAGCAAGTGCAAGAGGAAACGAGAGATGAATGCAGAAGAGAATCTTCAGGGAATGTGTCCATTATAACAGCCAAAAACACATGTACATCCCCACATCATGAGGGTGTTCATTTATCTGCAGTCTCATGGCATCACATGAGTCTTTCAGCATGAGGACATGAATAACTGAATGGAGATTTGTAAGGTTGAAAGACCATGAGGAAATCATAATAAAAATAAAAACTAATTTAGCAACTAGTATAAAATGTTATAACCCTGTCATCGTAGCATTGTGATTTCTAAACTTAAAAATACTGGCAGTGCCATCAAAACTGTTTTTTTTTTTTAAATGGTAAAGAACTATGACAACAGCACACCCATTACACACGGTCTATGCTTTAAGAAACAACTTATGTTGAAATATGGTGAGCTGAGAGAGGCCTGGTCTCATAACTGCCCTCAACAAAACTAAATAGGGCACATAATCCCAAATGTCATGTTAATGTTTGAGAAAAAGCCCACGAGGGGAGAACACGGTCTTTGTACAACCATAAATCCCAATTTTGACATCTCTCATTTGTTTTTGTGTGATATTTTGAAATAGTCATATATATATATATATGTGTGTGTGTGTGTGTGTGTGTGTGTGAAAAATGAGTCAACCTGGAGTGTTAGGTTTCTCACTTTTCAGCTGCAGAGCACCGATGCTGCATGGCATGAGGCTAACTAGTTGAATACTTTTTAGGACAACTAGTCCTTTAGGAAAAACCTTACGGCATGGAATACTGTATCCCACAATGCTTTGCACTTAACCTAAAAAATAACCATATTAAATTTCCAAGATGATAAGTGGACACTACTGAGGTTGTTTAACAGTGTAACATACTACTGTTTATGCAGACTGAGTAGCCTTACATGGAATGGTACGCAATATATAAAATTATATACTATATATGCAGTGTACGCAGGGTTAGGGTAATATAGTAATATAGTGCATGTGTTGCTTGCTTACCCAGAGAAATCCTCCTGGTGCATAGTAATGAGTATTGCTTCGACAGAGTCGGTAACAGAATTTAGCAGTGGCTGAACGGCACTACTCATCAGAGCCTGAACTGACTGCAAGACACAAAAACTTTAAGTTAACTAATGAACACATGTTTGATTACGTCATTAACTAACTGCTTGATTTTTACTGTATATTTCTGCCATATGGACATCAACTTGAGATAGTCACCACTGATAAGCTATTACTAAATATAATGTAGAAACTTGTAATTTTCTGTAAAGCTGCTTTGCAACGATTTGCATCGTGAAGGCGCTATACAAATAAACTTGAATTGAATATGAATTAACCTCTTAAGTGTCACCGGCCCACCGCCATTACATATTTTATTGCCTATCAAATGTTTTAGTAATCACCCTAAATCCTTTGAAAGATTAAAAACTCAAAATTCATCCAGTGAAAACCTTTTTAAAATCGGACATTGCGTTATCATGGAAATAGTACTTTAAAATCTTTTGGCGGTCTCCTCCCCCTAAGTGATTGGTGTCGAGTGTCATATTACAAAATGTATTACCGTATTTTACAATCAAACGTTTTTATAATATTGACAAAATACATATCGTTGGAAAGGTCTGAATCTCAAGATTCCATATTTGGTGGTTATTTTGTGATAGATTATTAACAGAATTTGACACATTTGTGACAAAAAAATGCATCAAAAAATTTCCCTAATGAATTTCCCAAAAATTAGTTTGGGTGTCACCTGTTTGTGGTATAATGCCCTAAATAAAATAAAACCTCAATTCTTTTTATATCAACTTCAAATTTGAAACATAACTTATTTAGACATAAGGCTTTAATTTGATAGCAATTTTAGAGTAAAACCTGTTACGAAAAATATTACTTTTATATAAAATAAAAATAAATTGTACAGTGCATTTTCTTTACAGTAAATTTAAAATTATTTAACTTTATGATAGTTTCATATTTTGAAATGATCTCACTTCCACAATAATCTGCTGATTGTTTTCTTTAAAAAGAGTCTTGGGTTTGTATTCCAAAGCGTTCATTAATTATAACAATTTAAGTTTGGATAGTGCACTTTCACGTCTATGTTCAAAAGTAGGGGGGTGACAGGTAAGCGGTTAAACAACAAAACACAAAATTAAGCAAGACAACAGTCAGTCAGAAGTTAATTCGATGTGCGTAAAATATTTGTTCTTTTGAAGGTTATTGGTTCATGTAGTATTTCCTCACATGGTCGCATGGTGACTAGCGCTAACACCTGCTCTCCCTCCTCTCATGTGATTGCCTGACATTTGCTGATGGGACATCAGTCTGACCATCGTGTGTGTCACGGCAGCTGGCCCCCCTTGTCCTAGGCTCTTATCCGGCTCTCTATCTCTGAGCGATATCAATGCAAACCCAATAGGTCTCTCTGACCAAATAGGGCCAGTCATCGGCAAAATCCCCTGCAAGCTGGAGATAAAGAGCAAATCTCCGCTGCACATCTCTTCTTCCTAAACTCCTTCACAACAAAGTTGGTAGTCACGTACTCGGCAGACTCAGCTTTCCCGTCATTCTTTACCCAAAGTGGCAACTGGATCTTGGGTGGTGCTTGCGGCCCATTTCGTTCTGGTGCGTTTAGTTGCGTTTGGCTCAGAACAGTTCCTAGTGCGATGTGTTGAGGAACGGGGAGGAGCAGAACTAGCACTTGTAGCTGGTGATGCAGGTCCATTTGGGATAAGCCTCTGACAAGTAGCACACTTTCCAAAGGGGGCATAGGGGGTGCTCTTCTGAACTGTAAAATAACTATGCTTTCATGGACTTTATAAGTCATGTGCAAATGAAGGCCACAAGTACGTCCACATCATGTGAGCCATTTGGGACAGGGATATCGAGATCACATGCCCTGCATGGGAGGAGAGCACTACCTCAACTCGAGGACAGCGGGTGGTAAAGTGTGGTAATGTGTTTTCACCTTGAACTGTTGTTTAGACTTAAAGATCATGGGTTAAAGCGTGTGCGCGTATCCGTACAGCTGGCAGGTTTTGTTAAAAGAGACGAAGGGGAAGAGAATGACCAGTTTACTCATCTGATAGCCAATTTACCTCAGGGGAGAGAGAGCGCTGAATTCAGAGAAGCTCAATGTTTACCCAATTGCTTTCCAAAACCACCTCCAGACTCTGTGTGTGTTTGTGTATGGCTGCAGCATCTCTATCCAAATTCTGACCCTTTGTTCATTGTCCCGTGTGCTCACCTGTTAATCTGTCTATCACAGCTTGATGGTGTATCATGCACCACTATCTGCTTAAATAGTGCAGTGCACTTGTTGCTGAAAAAGCACTATGAACTGAATGTTGTGAATAGAGGACATTACCTGCTGTGAGCTGATATTCAAACCAAAAAGATGTCTGAAATATTACTAATGTGACTTGTGTGTAATTAAGCCCCTTTTACACCGTTATTAACATGCATCACCAGGTCGTGATGTTTCTAGCAGAATGCATATTGTTATTTTAGTCAAGAAGCTATATTAATTACGTATGTCCCTCATATGATCTTTGTGTTGTCTTGTGTTTTACCTCTAAAGATGCTGTGAGCGATTGCTCTGCTGCAGGAGGGAAGGTACCCAGTCCAGATATAACCTGAAAACAACTCAAAGTCAGCAATCATTCAACGTTTAGAGCTCCTGAACAGTAACTCCTGTCTTCACTCAAAGTTCAGGCCCAAAAAAATTATAATCTTACTGAAACAAGTACCTTCACTTTTCACCAGTAAAACTTTGATCACCTCCAGTTTAAATATTTAATCATAGAGAAATCTCTTTTTATTACCTTATTAATCCCACCAGCAAGGAATAAGCTTTGGCTGCTGCTGACATGCTTTTTTAATGGGCCAGCCCGGGAACTACATCAGCTGGTGCTAAAAAAGCCACTTGTGAAATATCACCACTCATATTGTACAGATATGACTGATGGTGAGTCTGCAGTTTCTCAAGACTCTCTCTTGAGAAAAGACTGAGTAAAGGCACTGCAGCCATATGCTCTTTATAGACAGGTGGACTGTTTTCCGCACATAGAGGAGTCTTATAATACAGCAGTACTCTATAATAATTTCACGCTGACTTCTATTTAAACACCCCACAAAACCTTTCCTTGGCATGGAACAGTGATTTCATACATCCTGCTGAGTAAATTCTTACAATCATCTGTTAATAAAACAGTTTTGGGAAGCACATAATGGCAAAAAATCTATGGGACGCCAAACCAAAACTTCTCATTATCCAGACATCAACTAAAGAAAGAAATTTAGACAGACTGAACCATAAAACTAACTGAATAACTAGGTGTCTATTGTGCTTTTAATAGGAGTTTTAAATGGATAGTTACCATTTACTCACCATATCTTATTTTTATACTTTTTAATATGGGAAGCACAAAAAGGATGTTTAGCAGAATGTCCAGAGAGCTATTTACAAACAATGATAATCAATAGGGACTGTATAAGTAGTTCTTAGATCTTCTGGACTGTATTTCATATGAAAGCTATATCATAGCTTTGTGTGAGGAACAGACCAAACTTTTTTTAACTTCCCATTTACCGCACCTCTCAAATGTCTTGGAGCAGTGTGTATTCAAACATATTGAAGTCATTTGCATTACTTTTGTAGTAGATTTAGTGTTTTTTGTCATATTTGTGGAGCTCGAGCATCTGACCCCATTCATTTAGTACCTAGGACATTCTTTTAAAATGGCACGCGCACACGCACGCGCACACGCACGCGCACATGCACGCGCACACGCACACACACACACACACACACACACACACACACACACACCCTAAATGATTCTTGGAAGAAAGTAAGTTGTATGGGCTTGGAATGACACAAGGGTGAATAAATGACAGAATTCTGCATTGTGGAGTGAACTATAGTAACTATAGTGTCTTAAATGAGAGCTGGTGTTCTTACTTTAACCACAGATTGCTGTAGGCGGAACAGAGAGTTCACTACGGCAATATTTCTTCTCTGACCCTCCGTCAGGGGTCCGATCACCTGACTGGCATCCCCTTGTGTACACAGCTGAGAGAAAGAAGAAAGAAGGAAGGAAGGAAGGAAGAAAAAAGAGATTAAACAATATTAAGCATCACAACCAAAGACTTGAGTAAATAATCAAGGAGTCAACATCAAAAGCGAGGAGACCGCAGGCTCCCACTAATTTCCCCAGATGTCCCAGTGTTCGTCTGAGGTCAGAAGCGCTTTGCTCAGTGGTGGCACAGCGGTCAGCATGCTGAGACACAGGCGTCACCATGGAGCTCAGACAGCAGAAGCAGCTGGCATTGTGGGTTGGAGGGCGAGCAACAGGGAGACGAAAAAGAAGAAGGATTTGCCCAGCTCAGTGCCACACCACAGGAACTAACAAGCGAAAGGTTGTCTCAGTCACGAGCAAACCACAGCACACAAACACATATTCGTGCTGCCTTGCTGCCTCCTGACATAAACAAACAGCCACTACAAACAAAACAACTCAAAGTCGAACCCGTACAACGGCAGCACAACCTCCAAGACATCACACCTCTCATCAAAGGTGGGGGGCTGGGGAAATAAAATTGGGGAGAAAAAAATATCACACATCGCCTGCGAGGAAAAGCCACATAGGATAGTGGCAGCAGGGGTACCATGGCAACAGTCTAAAAATGGCAAGGCAACGGTTAATTAACGTTTCCCGTGGCAGGTGTGGAGATGCCAAGTGAGGTGCAGCAACACTAGTGAACATTGGAGGTGGGTTGCTCCTTCACACCTGATGTTAAATAAAGCATAGCCTCCGGTGTATATCTGCAGTCCAATACAATAATGAAGCTTTCTGAGATTAACTGCTGTGTGACCCAAGGTCTGCGGTAAACCTGTCTGAAGACCCAAAACATTCTTATATTTCTGTAATCCTCATGGAAGTGCACCATTGTCAAATATTTCCCCTGCAGCAAAACCAGATTATAGGAAGCTACTTTAAAACTCAAACACTGACCAATTTTTTGGAAAAAAATAAAAATCCATTAGGGAGAATGTCCATTAGTTATTGTAACTCTAGTTTAAAGGGATAGATCACCCACAAATTTAAATTCTGTCATAATTTTCTTACCCTTATTTTGTTCCAAACCCATAAGTGGTTAATCTTCAAGGCATAAATTAAGATATTTTTAATGAAACCTGAGGTTTCTGTTTCTCCATTGAAACGCCAGGTAACCAAATAAGACTAAATTAAATATTCTTCATATGAAGTGATTGTATCTTTTCACAAGATTTGTATTAAACCACTCTTTTCATATTGATTTATTTTATGAAGCCTTTATGATCTTTTTGGATCTTCTAAGTTTTGGTTACCTGGACTTTCAGTGGAGTGACAGAAACCTGTCAGATAAAATGTGGATAAAATTGCTGTCAGTAGGCAGCAATTTTATCCACGTTTCGGAAATCATTCTCCCTGCAAGTGCACTCTGTAAATCTGTGGATCGGAGTTGGTTAAAGTCCCATTCCATTATCACAGCAGGAAGGATATGAGAGGTCCAGGTAACCAAAACTTAGAAGATCTTAGAATTAAGTTTCATTAAAAATATATATTAATTTGTGTTTCAAAGATGAACTAAAGTCTTATGGGTTTGGAACAATATAAGGGTGAATAAATGATGACTTTCACTTTTTTTTCTGTCCGTATAAGTAAAACCATACAGGATTTCTAAGGAACAGAACTGAAGAAAGCTGGAAATGACCCGCTTCCACGGGATCAACTGATTGGACGGTGACAATGTCCATCATCAGGACACTAACTACAGCTCAGATTAATCATACGGAGAGGTTCTCTGATGCAAGAAGCATTCTTAAAGCCTGGGGCTACCAACTATATGGCACATTGGGCAGCAATTTTTTCTACGTTTCGGAAATCATTCTCCCTGCAAGTGCACTCAGTGTAAATCTGTGGATCGGAGTTGGTTTAAGTCCCATTCCATTATCATAGCAGGAAGGATATGAGAGGTCAATAGACATACAGTCCTTAACTTTGTCTTCATTTATATCCATCCATTAACAGATGGAGTCTGTTTGCTGCCTGTGTTAAGCTGGGTTTAATAAAAAAGAAACCATCTGTGTCTTGACTGGGAGAACTTCTTGTTCCCTATATTGTGAGGACATATTTCCTACTGCTTGAAAGATTTATGCAATATAGTACTATGATATCATTTCTAGAAGGAAGTCCAAGGAGAGGTCAAGGTTTGGCCTTGAACTGACCTTGAATTGAGTACATAGGGTTCTGATGGCTCATCTGTTCTGCAGGAAAGAACAGAAGCAAACCCTCGTTATTCATCTGCTTGCTGACATAAGACAGATCAAGTCAGTGGGCCAGTGATTCGAGGACAGACACCGGACTAATCCAATCACACCCTCCCTGGCCAGGCACAATCAATCACACCTTCAGCTCACAGTGAATGGAGATAGACCTACATGAACAAGTTGGGTCATTTCGAGCCAATTTAAACAGCTAAGAGGAAAATAAAATGAGCTGGATAACATGAATCAGTGTTTGAAACACAGAACCTCCATAATGTTAAGAGTGAAACAGTATTCAGCAAGAAATAATATAGAGTCAGACTGGATTTTATAATACTTAGAAAACGTTTATAATACTTATAGACAATGAAATAATTTCAACCCTGTTAATGAAGAGCTAGCATCTTGCCTAACCCTAACCCGTTCTCTGGCCATAATCAAACATAACTAAACAACCTAACCAAGGTGTTCATGATTATTGAAAATTACAAGCAGGTTGACTGCTCTTGTTCTAGATGATGAAATATTTAGAACAGAGTACACCTTAAAAATTATTTAGCTACAAATGTTTTCATGACTTTTTTTGGAAATTACAGTTTTTAAATTGCTTGATATCTCCAGGTTTCAAGAAAGTAAATAGAGTAAATTTGGACTTCATGTTGTCTTTAAAACATTTTTTGTTTATCTCAGAAGTCAGCTGCATAATCTTTGGAGAGCAGGACCCATTTAACTGAAATGAGACAGATTAAAGTGGCATCACCGTAGCGCCATTTTGGAGAATATCCGCTGAACGCAAGCAGCGTACGCTATTCTGTGTCAGCCGCGCTGTTTTCTTTAAAATCAAAGCGTAAATACCCATAGAAAACGTATCCTTGTGTTGCGGCTGACACGGAAGAGCGTACGCTGCTTGCGTTCAGCGGATATTCTCCAAAATGGAGCTACGGTGATGCGGAGAGACACAGAGGAGACAGATTGTTGAATAAAGTCTTTTTTTTTCGCATACAAAAAGTATTCTCGTCGCTTCACAACGTTGCAGTTGAACCACTGATGGCAGATGAACTATTCTGACGATGTCTTTCATACTTTTCTGGACCTTGACAGTGTCATTTACTTGGCAGTCAATGGGACAGTCACAAGCCTCCCGGTTTTCATCCAAAATATCTTAAATTGTGTTCCGAAGACGAACGAAGCTTTTACGGGTTTGGAACGACATGGGGGTAAGTGATTAATGACAACATTTTCATTTTGGGGTGGAGTAACCCTTTAAGGAATGAAAGGATTCACTCACTTGTAAAGCTTTCTAGCTCAAATCTCAAATCTCAAATTCTACAGATCTACTGATTTATTTATTAAGGATCTCTTAGTAAAGTTTGTGAGGGCTGTTATCTTCATGTAACTCAATGTGGATCACTACTGACAGTGAGATTGAGACTTAAGCCACTCTGACCAATTCAATTGCTTAGCACACAAGCAGCACACATCTATGAACCCCAATATAACAGCAGAGAAGTACATTTAGTAAACTAATAGCATGAATATTGTGTTGCAAACCGATTTGTCCTCCAACTACTGGTATTTATTTTTTGGTTGACCAACTACCGACCAAGCATTGCATTCTCGACCCCACCTTTGCCTGATTTGTGTGGCTTCTGTTTATGTACCAAATCAACTAGCACTTCTAACTAGGGAGGTTGGAATCCGCCCTGCCTCTTGTCCAGGTCACGGCTCTCAGCAGGTGCTCTGATTCTCTGACGCTTGTTGAGCCCCACCCTACATCGGCTCTCATAATGAGCTCAGTAGCCGACCGTGTGTGTCACCTCCCTGGCTGGGTTGAGGGGCATGAGAGCAGACAGCCTCCCGCTCAGCCTAGCTCATTATCTCCGTGTGTGTCTTACCAACTGCTCTGACTTGACGCAGAAAAGCTGCACAGTCTTGGCGGCGTTCTTGGCTACTGCGATCGTCAGGCCGGAATCCACCGATGCAACATTCAGCTCACTAACGTGCAAAAACAACATATAGGATCAACTGTTAACAAATTACAGTCAATAAAAACAGTCAGCAGTCTGCTTAGTCTAATCACTAATTTTCCAGTCCATTATTAGTCCTTTAGTCAATTTCAGTATTTTACAAAATGTAACTATATTTATTATTGACTTCTAATGCATGCAGTGCATTATAGGATCGCCTTCTCCATGAAGGACACATGCAATGCTTCCTTAACACTGGGCCAAAATTAGGTTTCTTAGAAGACAGCATAGTGGCACAGTAGGGAAATGATGATGGAACAGAGTTATGATATATTATGCATATTGGAGGTGTACCTGGCTATTGTTTTTATGATGCTGTCAAGTTCATCATTAGAGGGTGGGTTTCGGCCCCCTTGAGGGAACACAAGATTGATGGGGTCAAAGAGGCGGGACAGAGACTTGGACAGGTAAGCTGCTTCATATGGCTGAAGGGAGTTCTTCAGGTCCTTCTCTGGACTGGAACAAATAAAAGGTAAAAAAAAAAAGTTATCCCTTTGCGTTACTGTAAAACAAGACAAAGTGTTTTCTGGCATCAGTTTATGTAATCTGAGTACATGTTTTTTTTTTTTTTTTGATAAACACATGACATGTATGTCACATACAAAATTTCACTGACCTAAATCTTGAATTTAATCAGAGGCATGCCCGTAGAGATAATTACAAATCGAGACTAAATCAAAAGTGCAGCAGAGCAAACTGAACAACACTTAATGAAACTGTAGCCTACTTACACTCGTCATCTCAGTAGGGATCAAAGCCCCAAGCATTTGATTTTGCCACTATAAAAAATTAGTTTTCCTGGCTGACAGTTGCTTAATTCCCAATAATTATTCTTTTGTTTGACCTGTGAATACCAATAGTTGATAAAAGTGTAAGTGAGATATGATTGTTTCACCAAAGATTACCATTTTCATTAAAAGTTTCAAACTTTTCATTATATTGTAAGGTCTGAAAATGAGGATTATTTTAGAATATTATTTGACAGTAATTCAAAGAACCTCGTTCTCATCACTATAATCTGAAAAATAATGTTTTTTTTAAATTGTATTCATACATCATGATAGTATTAGTTCTATAGCCTTTATGCAGATTTAAATGAAAACATCTCAGTATTTTTGTTTACTGTAATACAGTAATGAATTACAAAAAAAAAAAAAAAACTGGTAATGTGATTTAGAGGGTAAAAAGTCATTCATTATCATAAATTATGCACACTTGTCTCAAAACAAATATAAGACTTCGTAGACATCTTGACACTAGTGCGAAGAGAAACCGCATCATTAATGTCAGCAACTAAAAACCAAATGAATCTTACTATTAAAGACAAAAAGAGCTCAGAGAATTAACACAATAGATTTCTCTATAATAATAGATCTCTAAACTTAACTCAGCAGATGCTGTTCAATGCTGTACTGCCTGCAGTACACTGAACTCTACCACAAAGCAAATACTTTATGAGAGCCAAATATAGATCTACTGAATCTCTCCAAAATAAAATACAAAGAAAATCGTTTCCCCCCTACATCACCCTGACATATGAAACACATTTGCCACTTTTTGACAAGATGCTTTAATACTTTTGGCTTTAATTGCTGGTTGTCATGCATCTTGACAAGCTTTTTCTTGAGCTGTATTATGCGATATGAGCAACTGTGCGTAAAACGTGGGCCGTTTAGGGGACGATTGTCATTATGGGAACTTGTTGTTTGATGAGAAAGTGGCAGAAATGTTGACTGAACTCTGGAAGATTGTCTGATAACGTGTCGGAGAGTAGAAGGGCTTCTTTGCTTCCCAACACATCTGTCCATTCAGGTGAAAGGCAGAAACGCTGTCTGATTGATGAGAGCAGTTTTGAGAGCACTTTGCACGTAAACAAAATCTTTGTTATTCCACCAGGAATGATTAGGAAGATGACAGTTTGTGTAGATAATAAACTTCTGGCTTTTATGATGAGAAATTGTGGCATTTCTGTTTGACTGCTTGCATTTAGCATCTTAAAATGTCAAGTCAGTCAGATGCATTTCAGCGATTGATAGTTGCAATTTAGTTCTAAAAACAAAACATTAGTATGTCCTCCCCTCGAAAAAAAATTACCATAGTTTCTACAAAAATACCATATTTATAACAGTTGCTGTTGTTACCACAATAAATCTCTGACAGTTTGGTACTAACCACCACTGTCTTAATAAAAAAAGCAATAACAATTACAATAGCAGCTACTGTATTTTGGCAGAAACTATTATTTATCATGGAACATTTCTGTATGGACTAAACCATCAAATTGTTAATATAATTACAAAAGAATTATGAAAACAAATGTTGAAGAGTTAGTGTACATGTAACTGTGTTTGTGTGTTTAGTACTCACTCGTAGTCTGGTTTGGTCCGAGTGAACAGATCTTCAGTATCATGCTCTGACACTGGCAGTTCCACATCTAGACCTGCACCACTGCTCACAAGCACCCCCTGTATGCTTGCGCTGTACTGCTGCAGCCTCTTCCATAGCTCATTATAAAGCCTCAAGAGTTTGGGATACTCTCCCTCCAGGGCCTGCTTCAGGAAGGTTGATGCTGAGAACAAAAGAAAAATAAATTGAGAACAGGATGCATTTAATGAGATGGCGGCCACATAGATAAATACATGTGTTGTGTCTTTGTCCTGATCTTGACATTTTAGAAAGACTGCGTTACTAGAGCAGTAGTTTGAAACTGCATCAAATGCATCAACTTTTATGATTATAAAGAATACGACAACAAAAACATAATTCTTTTGAATGATATGCAATGAAGAATCTCAAAAAGAAAGATTCTTAATTTCATTTTTTCAATTTCAAATTATTAATTTTTTTAAATCAGGGTTAAAAAGCATACATTGTTGTGAATACCATATAATTAAAAAGTGTTGCATATGACAATGGCAAGCAGTGACTTGAAACTACAAACCCTTTCTTTGTGCCTCAGTGAGCTGAAAAACCAAATCCCTTATCTCCAACCAATCTAACAAAAACAATGTCGAATAAAGAGAATACACTTGGCAAAATGAGTGTCAAACGGATGGAATTGCATAAAAATGGCTCTTCATTAATATGGTAATAACCCAACTTTACAGGTGATTAAATGCTCATTACGAATATTATGCAGATTGTTGCCTATGCAGATTGCTTTGATGAATGCATAATTGAGTAGTTCAGAGGAGCAAGCATCTTAAACGGTTTCAATCTTTGTTTCGCCATCACTCGAACAAAGATGAGTGCTGGCAGTTCTACTCTACCAATGGAGTGCTGACTGTGAGCTGTAGCCATGTTCAGCTGACGCTCCATTTAAGATTTATTGCAGGTAGTGAAGCTTAAATTTCCTCACTTCATAAAACTGCCATGCAGTAGTGTTCAAACACAACCCATGACTGTCAAGAAAATCTTTCCTCAGGGAAGGTGATGAGGTGCATACAAAAACCAACAAATAAATGTCAGTGTGAAATGGTTGAAAAATGACATCTTTCTTGAACAAGTGTTAGTCAGGAGCAAGGTTTTGCCTTTCATGTTGTGATACAATAATGAAATGAAAAATAAAAATAACAGCACTCTGACTGTTAGCAAATTAATTCATACGGGTTCAAGGCCAAGTCAGGAAGCCTACACTGAATGTTGAGAGGAATACTGGCTTCATCTTTTGACCTGCTCTTTGAAAGGCAAGCAGTTCAAGAAAGAATTCTGGGAAGAGGCAGGGAGCTGTCAGTAGTCACAAAACATATTTTTGGACAAAGAGGCAGCGATGAATCATTTATAAACCGATCTTCTTTGAAGGCTTGTGGCGTCCATAACAATCGACCCGAGAACTAAAATGTTTTCTGATGGCTTCTAGGAGCTGCAAAGTTTGTGAGAGCATCGTCACCTCGAACATTCTCATTTTGTGAGAGTATTCTGGCCAAGTTCCCTTAATAGATGTACAAGGTGAGCCCCCTAGGGTCTGGAGAATATAAAAGCAAGTTTGATTGAGAGGTTTCAAATCAGGTAATGCACAAGCATTTGGATAATGAAAGTGATGCAAAGGCTTCCATTAGCCTTCTATTGATTGGGGGAGTGAAGCACAAAGCGTCATTAGGTCGTGATAACACAGGCAGGGATCAATAGAGCCACACCATCAAGGCCAAGGTCTAAATTACAGTGACTCTGCAGGGAGGACGCACGGCCCGAGATCTTTAGCACACTAATTAAGATGGGCACCAGTCGCAATCATGAGCTAGTGTGATCCATTTATGATGCAATTCTGTGACATTGAAGGTTTTTTATTGTAATACAGCTAGGCCTGTCGCAATAATCAATATATCGACTTATCACGCAATATATGTACATGACCTCAATAATTTTTGGTGATGCAATATATCGCCCAATATATTTACTTAAAAATTATTGCGCCTGTGTCTTTTGCAGCTTCTTGTGCATAACGTGGTGTAGTCATGAGGTGCTAGCTCAAATTTAAAAAATGCTTCAACAAAAAAAGTTTCACCTGCAGATATGGCCTTGTTTAGGGATCTGTGCCTTTGTGCGTACGGACATCTGCCTGCTGAGAAGTGATTGTGTTTATCAGCAATAGCGTGCACCCTTCATTTACAGAGAAAAGAAGGTCAGGGAAAAATCTGTAGATGGAAAAATCTCCATACAAGTTCTTTGTGCATTTTTCTTTTTTTGTACTTGTTACTTTGCAAGACTGAGTTGTGGAAAAAGCTATTCTGAAATGGTACTGTAGCTTGCCAAGTTACAGGCTAATTTAAATGGAAGTAAAGAAGGGAGTCCGTTTTTGGTTATACACCTGTGGAGTCACATGAATCTCACATTTGAAGGTCTGCTTCCTCCATATTTCCTTGTGACCAAACACCTGCCTTGATCTATCCTGCTCTTTACTGATGATAACACCATGAGATCAGTGTAGAAATCATCGTTTTGTGTCTGTATTGATGATGGCCTCTCTCATTGGCTGCGCCTCAGCTCTAAAAATCATCAGAGATTACGGAAGTGTAAATGAATCCGACTGCAATGTGATGAATGTGATGAAAAGAAAGCAAGAGCGGAGGAGAAGAGAGAGACTAGGCGCAGGAGGGGAGCTTGTGTAACACACTCACACACAGAATGAGCTTTTGAGATGCATGACGGGGCATGGTCTTAAACAAAAACCCCAGACTGAGACTCACCAGCTGTGGCTTTCTGCAGCTCCTCGGAAAGCGTCTGAGTGACTGAACTCCAGAAGGCGTGCAAGATGTCAGGCTGCCCATCCTGATAAGAGAGAGAAAACACATGAACTTTACCATAATGGCCCCTGACACACATAATAACATACTGTATTGTTTGCATAGTGTGCATTAACACACTATGCAAACAAAGCTGATATGACTGCCTTCAATGGCATCAACCCACAACATATCACAAAACTAATGTCCAGGTCACATTTCACCCTGAATAAAAACTAGAATCATGGCTCTGAACTCCACTGAACAAAAGGTCACCAAAGGTCCATTAAAGTTCACAAGAAGCCCTTTGGTGCATTATGAAATTATGTTAGATAACATGGATCATCAGGTTTTGCACAAACTTTTAGTGTCCATGCTTAATTTCTATAGGGGCATGGTTTCAGTACCATCATCAATAAAATACAACCAATCTTGGCTTCTCTTTCTTTTTTCCCTAGTAAAATACAATATTTTAGAAAAAGTTTCATATATGCTCCAGTACTTCAGGCAATTTCTTCTTTCTGATGTAGAGTCGTATTTCACATTTATGACACCTGAAGTGAACAAGAGGGCCATCCGTGAAGATGAACTCATGCCAGAGAGCCAGAAGGCATGTTTGCTACATAAAAGCAGCTGGGAATCCAACGGGAAGGTCCGTTTTACTTGTGTAACTGTTAAATGTAGCGGTTTGCAGGTTTTGCTTTCCGATGGGTGCCTGTGTGGGGGGTGTTTTTGCCACCAATAAAGGTGTGAGATTGTGGGAGTTTGAAAACAGCTTTCGAAGTGGAGGCAGAGAAAGAAAACAAAAAAACATGACATTCACCCACCTTTTCCAATCTCCAGGGAATCCGACAGCAGCTTTGTTGTGCTGTACATTGACTCCTGCACAAAGTTCCTATATGTTTTCCTATACTGCATATGTGTACCGTCTCCTGCATGCACCTTGTTAAACTGAAGGTTCAGAGGTGCTGCAGAGCTTTTTACAGGCTGTGAGGCTCCAAAAGAGGTGCCTGCCCTGCAACACCTTTCACAGGGCCGTTTAAATGTCGGGTGCTCTTTTAATCTACAGCTGACGGATCTCTGAGCACCCGATGACACTCTGTCAGTTATTCTGTGTGGTTTGAATTCTGTGTTCCTTTCTACCAAGAGTCATTGAGCTTTAAACAAAATGTGAGTTTGTGAACTTAAGATAAAAATATTTCAATCCATGAAGCATTGAATTTAAATCAGCACAGATATTATGTAGCACTATTTGAACTTTTATCTCCGTTCATCACGCTGTCATGTTTTCTTACATATTCGAAAGAGAAAGGCCAAATTTTGCAATACCACCCTCACTTTCAAATCAAACTTTTTGCTTTTCCTTTCTGTTTTTTAACAAGGAAAAAAAATGTCTATGGGAGAGCGAGAGAAGGTGTTGCCATGGAAATGCCCCCACCTGCCCCCCCCCGCCAATTCCTGCAGACCTCAATCTTCTGACCAAAAATCTCGATTTCCAAGAGGTGATTAGAAGCCGCTCAACTCATCTCCCCGAAACTGTTTACCGAGTGAAAACGGGAGGAATACCAACAGACAGAGAGAAAATGACTAGGTTTGGAGACAGACCATTTATTTTTCTCACAAATGCAAAACACAACTATGGCTGTGTTCGGAATGGAATTCTAACATACTGTGCGGTATACTGTATGCAATAGAAAACATAAGTATGCCGTAGTATGCTATGTTGTTGTCGCATGACTTTATTACGTTTAAAGCAAGTGGCCTGCAGTTATCATGAAATTGCATTACTATAAACGAATTCTGTCAGTTCAGCCAGACAATAAGTCAAGAAAGCGAAGTTTCAAATTGTGGTTGATGTTTTTGTTGCACTGGTCAAGCGTTGTATACTTGTGCTACACTGTAAATATAAAGGCTGAAGGAATCAATGCCATGACTATATAAACAAACAAACAAAAACTGTTGTGCATGCATTAATGCTTTTTTAAATCTTAAATTATATCTAAATTATAAAATTATTAAGGACACATTCTCATTGAAATATAAAAATGCATGTGAAAAATGTGCATGCTGTGCACAGTATACACACAGAACATATAATACAAGTAGTATGCAATTCCAAATTTATCCATGTTACAATTCTGCATCAGATAACCTGAAATCTATGCCCACATTAGCTTTGCTGGTTATGGTTTAAGGAAATGAGTCGCTAAAGGACTGCTCTAATTCCCAGCATTATATGCGGTCTTTGAAATCCATCTGTGAAATCTTACCACCCCTTCCTAAACTGTTCTGATCTCACAGTTTAGCCCTTCATTTGGCAGAAAATAGCACCTTAATTACCGGCTGTAATTAACCAAATTTGCCACTGAAGGAATGGAGAGCCACGGATGTCTGGGATACCAAAGCGGAAACACACTGCATATGCCTTTGCAAACACTGTTCTTGTCACTCAGCACGCACCAACACACTCCTGCTAGTTCACAAAGTCACCCAGAGCCAAATGGAGAATGTAGATAAAATTGTCCCATCACTGTCTGGCTGAAAATGTGTGGTGGATATATGTGTGTGCATGCATGTGGGGTAGATAACCTTGTCACAGAGGGGCCAGCCACCTGCAGACACCAATTAGGATGTCATTTACTGCTAATGTGCAAGCAGCAAGTGAACCAGCAGGGGTTATGCAGGCAGGCCAGCCAAAGGCAAGGGCAACACATAAAAATCCTTTGTAATAAATCACTACATATCAAGGACAGACTCTTCACTCATGGGATACGTACAATATCGACACATAACTTCCCAGTCTGACTTTACAAAAAAAAATTAACTGCACACTTCTTCCATTACACACACACACACACACAACAAAAAACAAAAAAAATGAAAACAAATATAGATATGAAATCAAATTTTCCATCTCACCTTGATAATCTCATCAATAAAGCACACATGAGACACTGGGTCCCTCTTTTTGGTTAGAACCTTCTGCAGGTGCTGCACCTGTTCAGGAACATAGAAGAAACTTTATCCAATATAGTCAAGCATGATCTAAATTTAACACTTGGCTTAACACTTGTACCTAAAATAGGTACAATTGATAACTGCACTCACAAAGTAGTTTTAAAATCATGCACTTAATTAATGCATCATGCACATGCATTTAATACAAAATCAGAATAACTGATTTGTATATTTTTCTTTACCAACAATATATTTCCAAAAGCAGCTAATGCATCAAGCTTTGCAAGTTGCCAAGTAATGCATGGACTTGAACAGCTTGTATGAGTGGAGAAGAGTCTCCCCTCCCCTCTCAAGCATCCTCACTCTACCATTAGCAGGAGTGCCAAAAATTTAATTTCGGTGCTTAATCAAGCTTAATATTTTGTGGCTTTACAAGTGAACACCAGACAAAGTGGAGTGGGACATGATAATAACACAGCCACCTGTGAACTACTGGTGTTTTGCCTAATGACATTAACAGTGTTTCATAATAGTAACATCTGTGTGAGTTTGATAACTTATGCATACCTGACCACATGCAGCACAGATCTGGTCCATTAGTTTCTCTAAATTTGTCCAAAGGGCAGCTCGAAATGCAGCTGTGTTCCCTGGAGTGGGCATGACGGCTCTGCCAGGGGCACCTAAACACAGCAGACACGAGAGGCATACACTAAAACACAATGCAAAATCAGCAAGCACTCTAAAACGGCCTTAAATGCACTAAACAACAAACCTCTGGTGTTGGCAGGTTGAGTGAGGACTTTAATGTCAAGGGCATTAACAACATTCTCCTGCACAGATGTCCTGTATCCATCCACCACACTTCTTATGGTCTCTCTTAGATTGCCGAGGTTGTAAAACACCTGTAGGGCCGTTCCCACCTGAGACGGATTCTGTGGGATAAACAAATCAAAAACAATCAAAAATTCTATAACAAAGAAAAAACACTGTATGAGCTACAATGTGCTACAAGTTTTAAATTAATGGTTTGATCACATGCCATACTGTGGCCTAATCAGAAGCAAGGTTATAAGTTTAATAAGTTTGTCATTATTGTAAAGAAAATATTTGTTTTTATAATCTTTCTAAGTATAACGTTCTCTTTTTTTTTTTTTTACTGAAAAGTGAAAACCCACTTTACACGATAAAATCCCACTTCACATTAAGTTCTTTAATACATTATCTCCCAGTTAATATTTTGTTTCACCAGAAATGTTCATTTGTTTTGTGTGTTCTGTGGTTTTGAATGAGTTGCATACTATTTGAGTAGAATTAATGTGGGAAGCAGGCCACTGACACACAGGAATCTAAATACATTTACATTCTCTTCTTCAGTTTCAAGTCAGATTTACACCTGAGACTAGTCTTCTCCGCATGAGGGGATCACAGACTGTGCACAGCACTTGCTGCAAGAGCCACCGATTGACGTCACTGCGCTCAACACCAGAGCACATGTAAGGAAAGTAGGTCAAATTCTTTAAATTCAACTGTCTCAGCTTAGCTGTGACTACAGGACATTGGAGTTTAAAACGCAAAACAGGAAGCTCTCCAATGCTGCATTCAAAGCAGCTTCAAGCAGACGGTCCCGATCTCTGATCCTGCCTTTAAATTTAATCTCCCAGGATGAAAGTGCCAATCATTACAACCGATTCAAGACCCCGTCCAACTTCAATCTAATCCCAGTGCATCAAAGATGATCAGGCCCAGTGGCTTTCCCAAACGGTACACGGAAAACTGCAGGTGAATGGATATTTATGCAACAGATGTGATGAGAGAAAGTGATAATTCAGTAAATCTACCCTTCTTGTCTCTATGTGCTTGACTAATGGTGAACAGATTGAGTGTAATAGGTAGGAGTGGTAGGATAAAGCCATCAGTGGTGGCTAAGTACTTTGCTGCAATCAGCGTTTTCAAGCTCTAATCATGCAAATGATGGACACACACTGCTACAGCTCCTCTGTGCTCTGAATTTTGTCCTTTTCAACATTGGTCAAGAGAAATTTGCCCAACTGTGAAAGAGGTTCCACTGTAAAATTCTAAACAACTGCAAAAAGATTGTGGTGATGGACAAAATGGATGTTTGAAGATTAAACTTCATTTTTTTTAAAGAGTCAATTAGATTGAAACACCTAGGTTTTATGCACTGCAACATTGTAAAACCAAAGGGAGTCACTGACTATAGTAAGTACAAGAAGAAACAGCAATCCCTTGTGACCTCATTACAGGTGTTGGTGAGGGTCCGTTCCGATTTCTGATACACTAGTGGCTGCATTGTTTTTGTAGCTACTTACGATCTTAGGAAGTATGACCAAATGGGAAAAACTGTCCTGCACTTAGAAAAAATTGCAAAGCATTGGTGCCCATTTCAGCTTAACTGCTGCAGGGTCACAAGACACTAGAGCACATTTTGAGATTTTATACACCCTGACGATAGCATGCGAGTATGAGAGCTTCAGACAAAAATGTTTTAATGCAGTCTGATTTAAACTGCAAAAATGTGTCCATCAACTTGTGGCATTTAATATCTATTGTTGCTGAAAACTACAGTAGTATAATTGTTTTATCTATACTGCTCAGCCGTAGCTAAACATTCACAAACCAAGCCAAAATTGACTGTTGTCCAGCAGCATAAATCATATGTTGTCACTTATGCAACAGTGAGTGTAGTTGTCAAAGAACAGATGTGAATCACAGACAAAGGAAAACAGAGGATTGGGAGAGACCTAATTGCTTGCAGCAGGTTCACTCGCAGCATGTAATGCACTAGCCCTCATTTACCCTGAACTGTGGAAGGATAATGGTTTAGCAGGGACATGCACAGTCACCGTGGAGATGGATTTGATCAGCTCAGTGCAAGCTGGTGACCCAGGATGGCTAGCTGCCAACTGCCGTGAATGAGGTGTTTTCACATTACTCACATCCAGGCAAGCACTATGCTTTTGTTCCCAGAATTAGCACTTAGCTGGAACAGGTGGCCAACGATCGCTTTCTTTACCGGGCAAGAGAGAGAAAAACATATTTGGGCTAATGCTTTTAAGCTCAAACAGCAGAAGAGACCAAATTTTGATTGGGAAAATATACAGTTAGCCATCACTGGGAAGGTGAAATGCAACTAAAAATACACCTCGGTTCCATGTTGATTAGATTGGCTTGCATGTTGTGGGCTATTGTTGCAAAGAGTGGGAAATCTTATACAGCGTGTTTAGTTTTGTCAGTGCTGGTTTCACTCCATCCGCTGTCCAGCAGATGTGAAATTCATTCTGTCCAAGGGATCGCATGAACTTGTGTAAGGTGTGTAACACCCTTTCTTGAAATGTTCCTTGGGAGAATTACATTTCATACTGGAATGAATATGTTTATATCAGATAACCCCTCATAAACAGTGAAGGTCAGAAAAGGTCTTGCCATCTTCATGGCAAGGCGCTGCATGTTCTTCTACCATAATGCAGATCCAATCCAATGCAGATTCTTACATAATTGCAAAAGGCAGGTGGCATGCTTGGCGAACACATCACTGTATCTGAATCCTACAGATCATATGTACAAGGAGGTTTGAGATGTGCCAATGTTATTTTTGCCATCTTGAGATTTAGGCGTGTTTCTCCAGGGGAACGTAGGAGATAAAATGCATGTGAAAAAGCATCTTGCTGTATTTGCTCTTTGATGGCACTGGTAACTTTTATATTACTCTCAGAGATGGTTTATAGGAGTAACAAAAAGCTGATGTATTAGTGTTTAACCTGGTGGAAGAAACTGGGTCACATAAGGTAAACAAGATGGGGTGGGATGCTAAGGAGGAGATGTGGTAGATCATCCTTGGGTCAATATGCCTCCATCATGTATCCGACCTGGGCCTGTAATAACTATACTACACTGCTTGTATAACCTCCATTACAGACACAGTCTGGGGGCTTGATTAAATTCTCTCCTGCTTGGTAAAATTCAATTCGGTCAACCGTTCTGCATGAATGCTTCAGGTAGATGTCCTTTTTCTAGAGAAACCACAAAGGAAAAAAATACACAGCCCAAAAAGGGAACTTCCAACGAAATCAAGTATGCTACCTCAACAGGAACATTGTGAGAGTTTGCTCATCACGTAGGGCGCAGTGCCTTATGAGAAAAACAACAGTAATTTCCAGCCAATTGCTTCCTTTCATAAAAACACCTGGTCACCACGCCAGTGTCATTAGCTTCTGGCTGTGTTTATTTTTTCACCATATGGAAGATATTTGTCTACCAAACAATAGCTGATAAGTAGATCACACCAGGGGTCTTTACCCACATACGGTGCCCAGGTAATTCCTGCTATGAGAACATTTCCATGCGCCCATTATATGCACTGTAATACTAGATTAAATGTTATATATACATTCAAATAAAATACAAAATAACTGGGAATTTTTAAAGACAAAAATCATGCTAGATAAAACTTCCTTCAAGAACTGACATAATCATGGGTGGGGAAAAAATCCCATAAACACCAGTAAGTATTAGCAAGAGATTTCAGCCTGCTTAGTAACATTACAGATAATAACATCATAGATAATATGATAGCATCAAATTTTTTAGATATTAAAAAAAATTTAAAAACAAAAAGTGAAAATTGACTCAATTTAACAGTCAATCTCTTGTGCAATGGATACATAAATGGCAATAAAATCAATAGGGTGGAAATAATCAAGTATATAATTTGAGAGACAACAGCACAAAACATCACAAAATTGATCAAATGCTTATGTTTGTTCTGTTGTTTTCACTTCCTGGAGGCCACTGGCTTGAAAAGAGGACATTTTTAGAAGTCTTTTGTAGAAATACTTAAATTACAACACAATAAGTTTACATTTTTAATATTTACCGAAAATACTGCATAGCACAATTGACCCAGCCAATATGAGAATTACATGAGTTATATGGATGATACAGGGACACGTATTTTCCTTCTAGTCATTCTCAATCCAAAAACGACAGCAAACATGGTCAATGCCAGCCCATAAGAACATACAGAGTTCATTGGCTCACACTTAGCAAAGTGTTATGGCCATGCAAGAGTAATTCTGAAGAACAGAGAGGGCGAAAGTGAGACTTTGAGTGTGAAGAAAAAGTGAAAAAATTATGGATCACTTAGACATTCATTTACGTGTCGTGTTTCCACAGCAACCCAAAAACAAACACGACGGAGACCGATTAAAGCCTTTTAAGACGCACTTGGGAAATGTCAGTGCAATGCCAGACCAGGAAGAAATGAACTCAATTTGGGAGAGAACCGGTGATTGTGGAAAGGAGAAAGGTGAAAGATGAGGTGTGCTCAGCATAACTAATGAGAGAGAACATCTTCAGTGATAAAGAAACTTTGATTTGCACCGGCATTAAAAAGAAATGAACTCCTCTCATTCATTCATTTGTTAACACTTGAGGTTAAATGCATCTTGTATCATGTCATTTCTTTAATTTCTGAATGTAAGTCAAATTCAATGAACATCATTTAGTGATCCGTCTAAGTGTTTTTACGAATGGAAATACATGTGCCCTTATACATGACCCCTTATAATGAAATCCAGAGTGCAGGTTAACCTACTGAAAAACGATGGACATGCATAACCATGAATAAAATATCTATTCAATCTTGTGAAAGCAGAAAACAGGTTTCTGTTCAGAGGAAAACACTTGTGCACAAAGGAACGGTGGTGGCTTACTGGTCCAAGTCACAATGCAAATCTATAGGATTTATCACCTATTTTGTCACCCACCAAGTCAAAATCTTAATCTGATCTAACAAATAGCATGTTTATTGATATTAGCAGGATACCATTTCATGGTACCACGGTATATTAATACCTGTATACATTAAAGGGGTCATATGATGCGATTTCAAGTTTTCCTTTCTCTTTGGAGT